CCCCTGACTGATGCTCTCCCTTGTTTTCACAGGGACTTTACACTCCAGGCTTTCATAGACCCTTAGTGGGGGCAAGATGGTGTATATTCATTACTTGAGCTTGTCCTGAGGCCCTACTCTAGACTAGGCATTTTATAGATAGGAAACCAGGCCTCCGAGGGTAGACGGACTGTAATGATAAGAATAAGATGGACAGTGTTTAAGGGGAAGAGACAAATAGTCTCCCTGAGAGCTGTGCAGGTCTGGACTCCAGAACCCTGGGCCCAAAGCCAGAATGCCCAAGTGTGACGTTCCACTCAGCTATTTATGCAGCTGGGTAAACTGAGGAACACGCCTTTGCCTCAGAGCTTCAGTTGGCAATCTGTGAGGTGAGGTGTTGCTGCAGACCCCTTGCAAATGGCTATGACGATTAAGTGAGTTCATGCTCTCAGCTCATTGACTCAATACAATTGCTCTGAACCATACCTTGCACTCAAATGTAGGTTACTGTGTGTAAAGTGTGTGCCATATTTGTACACCGTGAAGCTACACTTGAAAAAACAATGACATAAAGTACTGGCACAGGTTCAGACTTTCTCTGATGGGTAAACCTAGGATTGGAGAGAGTTACGGTAGGGGTTGGGGTAAGGGGGTAGTCTAGGGAAGAGATCGGTTTAGGGGCCACGTGGTCCTTCGGTGTGCAGACAACTGCAATCTCCTGGCTCTTATACTGATCATTTCGAGATCTGGTGCTCCTAGAGGAGACACGGTGTGACAGGAGGTGACATAAGATGATGAGATAGTAAATCCAGGAACAGCCGGTGAGCGCCTTCTCTTCTGGACTGCCTTCCTGGTTCAAGGCAGTTTTCTAGAACCTGCAGGGGAAGGGGAGAACTTGGCACTCACCATGCCTTCAGTTGAAATCCCGGTACAAATTGACCAATATGCACTGCAGCTCGCAGGTGGCCCCTGCATCCAGCACTGCCGCATAGGAGGGCACAGGCCCTAAGGTATGAGATCACCGGTGTGGCGCCTCCTTTTTGTGACGCTTAGGGTCTGGCGCCACCGTGTGGCCACGGGAGGAAGACACCTACACAAGGATGCTGTCCAAAAAGCTGAAGGTGGATCTCTGATCTCAAGGCTTGGACTGCCTCAAGGACTCAGGGGAAAGATGTGGCGTCCTGCCACCTGCTCATCCCCTACAGCTCCTGGGATTGAGAGGGAGGCAAAAATCTATGCAGCTCGGTGAAGAATGCGGCATCCCACCTGCTCTGGGAGATGTCCTGATCCATGTCTCCAAGAGCTGACTACAAGAACACACTACAGGAAATGTCTGGCACCATGCTGAGGAGGGCACTTTCCAAGGCAGAGTCAGAACGGTGGAGTATAGATTCAGGGATCCCCTACACACAGTCTCCCAGAATGATGGAGACAAATCAGTTTAGACTACTCTTGGGGTCCTAGTCTATAAAGTGGGCTAGACTATGTCTGTATCCAGAACTAGCTTATTACAAGCTAGCAAACAAACTGTTACCAACTGGAGACCAAGACTTAAAGACGGAAGAGAGAGTAGCCAGCTGTGTGTGATGGTCCACAGTACTCAGGAAATGGAGCATCAGAAGTTCAAACTTATTTTGTCTATGTAGCAAGTTCAAGACCAGCCTGGGATATATGAGACTCTGTTTCAAAAATTCAGATCTGGGAAAGGGAGGGAAACATTTGCCCTGTGGGCTGAGTATTTGGCAGTCCCAAGCTTCACTCTCTTTCTCTCTTTGCTCTCACCCTAGGGCAGCGTCCGTGAGTGCGGTGTTGATTACCAGGAGGTGTGACTTAGGTGCTTTGACTTAGGGATAGGTTCTGGCTTTGCTCCTGCCTCCCCTGACAGAGGGGGGTTCTTTCTGCACCCTGGTACAGGAGGAGTGAAGCAAGTGATGGCACTGTTACCCATGGTGGCCAGACTTGTTCTGGTACTCACTGCTACAGCACATGGGTCACTTCTGAGAGCAGAGAGGCAGAGCTGTGGTCTGAGTGTAGCTGGGAGAGGTTGGTCGTGGTCTTCTCTGGTGTGGGTCCCTGTGTCTGAGTATGGCTGGGTTTGAGTCAGGGAATACTTCTGGTTGATGAGATACACAGCACCACTGCCCCACCAGACGTGCAGCTGTTCTGCTTCCTGAAGCATCATTCTGGGTTGGCTTCTTCATTCCCTCCCACCATTGGGAAGACAGTGGCTCCTCCCAGGGTCCTCCCCTGACCACTTTGATTGTTCTAGTCAATGGAATCCTCCCAAACTTTGATCCTTCCTCCCTCGATTCCACTTTTTCTTCAATTCCTTTCTCCCTCTCTTCTCTCTTTCTTTTCTCTCTCTTCTCTCTCCCCTTCTCCCCCTCCCTCTATCTCCTGTGTTTTCTTGTCTGTTTTCTCTCTCCTTCTCTCCTCCCTCCTTTCCTGGCTGTACCCACAGGCCCTGCATTCCAGTGTCTGTCCCTTCCCAATCCCTTTCCTAGTTCCTTGATGTTGTAAATCTACAGAAGTACCCGGAATGTGGCAGCAGCTCACAGGAAGTGCAAGGTCACGCTAGAACCCGAGTTTGGTGCTCAGTTTCAGTTTAGCCTCGGCCTCAGTTTCCTCATTTTTTGAATGGTGATAAGAAGGCCTGCTTACAAGGCAGCTGACACACATGGCTAGGGCGTGGCACACCGGAACCTTCCCCCAGGCAGCCCCTGATGGGGTCCTGTAGAGTGTTGTCCTGCCTCCTCCAGACACCCACTGAATATATGGGTCCATCGTTGACTCTGACATACGAAGTCTGCTCACTGCAGAGATGGATCTAGGGAGAATCTGGTGTTAGTTCCTACTTCCCTACTGGGAGATCCTTTTGGGACACTTGAGTCTCCGTTATGAAGTCTCAGGATCTATGGGGAAGCACGAAACTCTTTCTCTCTCTCTGTCTCTTTCTGTCTCTCTCTCTGTCTCTTTCTGTCTCTCTCTCTGTCTCTCTCTCTGTCTCTGTCTCTGTCTCTGTCTCTCTCTCTCTCTCTTTCTTTTTTGCGGTCCAGCTGGGACTGACCATGGCTGCATGGCTTTTGGAGTTCACAGCCTCTGCCCAGTGAGCCATTTCTTGCAGGCCATTGAGCTGTCATTCTTCAAGATCTGCACACAACTGCTCTTCTATAGTGAGGCCCAGTGTTTTACAACTAGAGGTAGCAGCACTTTATGGTTTTAAACTGTGTTACAAATATGCGCCGTCCAGTCTGCCTTTAAACATGGACACCCATCCCTGGATGATACCCCCACCCCCACCCCCGCTGCTGTGAGGACAGTAATTCTCTCATCCGTCACTCACCTTTCACACCTTTGACTCCAGCATGCTTAGGGTCTGCCATTAAGAATTGTGAGCATGTGGTCCTGCCTGGAGTCCTCAGCCCCAGAGAACAGGTTTTTCCAGCCTGCTTCTTCTACAGGTGCTGAACTAGGCAGTGAGATATAGCAAGGTGCCGTCAGCCGGTCCCCACTCACACAGGGCTTCTGTGCTCCAAGGGGAGGCAAGAAAGACAGATGAGAAAGAGGGTCTGAGAGAACAGGAGAGCTGATGAGATGTTTGAGATGAGGTGAGGCCCTAAGCCCTGAGGAGGGCTGGGGAGATCATTCTGAGCACTGGGGAACCAGCTGCAGAGGGGAGAAGCTGCCTGTACTTTAGAACCTTCCAAGGACACTCTGGCTCCCTTGTGAAGAAGGGTTCTCACAGGGCAGTAGTGGGCAGCATGTGCCACTGAGGAGGTGCCGATGTCAATGCTGTGGAAAGGATAGAGAGGCCTGTCCAGCAGACTCGCGTGGGCAGCACCTGAGGACCACTTAGCCTGGGGAGGGTTGTCAGCCCTGTGCCCTGTCTATATGGCTCCAGCTCAAGAATATGTGTCACTGTGTGTATGAGTCCATTCTTGATCCTGACTGACAGAGCTGTACTTCTGACCCTTGTGTTTGGGCAGGGACCCACCCAGATAAGTCTGCCTATATCCTGGGCCCTTCCTACATCCTGGTCCCTGTCCATAGCCGGACTATTGCTTGCATCCAAGACTGAGGGCTGGACTTAGTACATCCACAAAATCCTTGGAGACACAGCTCCAGACATTTCTGGTGGCAGCGGGGCTCATGTGTGAAGAGTGCCCTCTACACAAGTGTGCTGAGTACCCACCACGTGAGGCCCCCTCACTGGAGAGAAGGGCCTGGCACACTGAGCCAACATCAACATCACACAGTTCTCCGTGCTGACCTGCTAGCTCAGGCTCCCCAACTAGGCCTGTTTCCTTGGGCTCTTGGAGCTCCTCACAGAGTCTGGATGTCCCTCTTGAGAGAGGGGTCAGTAGGTTTGTGACTGCCTATGCACATAGCTTCCCTTGTAGTCTCTAGGTCTTCCTGATGTCTATCAGATACATGAAGTCTTGTTGACTATGCATGATTCTCCATTCAGCCCTCTGAGCCTGTGCACGGGAGGTTAGGTAGCCTTTCAGAGGCCCAACAGGTCCCTACAGAACCTTGCCTACATCCTCCCCATGTGGGTGTGGCCAGCCAGTGAGCAGTACTCAAGAGCATCCCAAGCCAGACTCTTTCCTCTCTAGAGTAACAGAAGTGCCAACTCTACTGGAATGTCTCCTACCTCCACCCTGATCCTGTACCCCAGGAAGCCCACTTACCCTCTGAGCTCATCTGGAATGCTTAGTTGATGGGCCTGGAACCTCATTTAGTCGATGCTTTCATCTCCTATATATATAAGTGGAGGCCAGGATGGGAAGAACTGGCCTGGGGTCCCTCATTGGGCCAGCTCTCTCCAAGGGCTGGACCCCCATGCCTCATCACTTCATCCTTTTAAGCCCGAACCCCACCCAAGCCCCTGGGGACTTCTGAAGGAGGTTGGGGGAATGTCAGTGCAGAAAGCTTGAGCTCTAGGGGGCTGGTTGTGCTTCTTCTATATCCCACCCCCAAAACCTACCCACACATGTGTTCTGTCTCATGTTTCCTCACAGGTATATCCGCACCATGTACCTGGGGATTCAGAGCCAGCGGCAGAAGGAACACCAGCGGCGCTTCTACTGGGCTATGATGTACGAATATGCAGATGTCAACATGCTGCGCCTCCTGGAGACCTTTCTGGAGAGCGCCCCCCAACTGGTGCTACAGCTCTGCATAATGATCCAGAAGAACAGTGCAGAGACGCTGCCCTGTGAGTTCCTGCCCACCACTTGCCCGGTACCGCCATCACCCCACCCCAGCTGCAGCTGCCTCATTTGCCTAAATGGCTGAGGGTCCTGGTTCTAAGTTCAGATGTCCAGACCCAGCCCTCTTGGCATCCCTGCTACTGGGGCACTAGGTTCATAAGTGTGGGATTTCCATGTGCCTCTGGGCAGCAGAGCCACCCTGCCTCTAACAGAGCCAGCCTGCCCTTAGTGGTTCAGGGTCCTGGCCCCCCTAATCCAGTGTGAGACCCCCTTGGGGTTTGTTCAGGGCCCTGATGTTTCTACCTATGTGGAATGGGGATAATCAGGCCTAAAGCTAGCATGTGCCCATGAGACTGAATCGTGTCAGGTTTTACTTCTGGTTTGAGGCATTTAAAACTCTGGGGTCTTACTTCCAGTGTACATAGATGTCTCAGCTCATTTGTAAAGACAAGCTGAAGTGGTTGCTGCTCTGATGAGCACAATGGGACTCTGTACTCCTCAATGTGGCCTCGAGTAGTCTCCACGGGACCTCAGAAGCCACAGAGCACAGTCTAGCTTGCAGGCTTAGTGGTAGGAAGGCTCTTGGGTGCTGGGATGCCAATGTTGTACTGAATTGGTCTTACTTCAGAGCTAATGGCTAGCCTAGCCCACAGAGTGCATAGCAGGGAGTCAGGATACACCAGAACAGGGTCTAGGTTGAGAAAGGGCCTGAGGTGGCACACGGAGGGAGAAACGGGTTGTTTTGTTGGGGAGAGTTGGGATGTGTGAATACTAACGTTTGAAGGAACAGGGAAGGAAAAAAAAGGTCATAGATGGCAACGTACACATGCAGGGAACTGTCATATGGGTGGGGAATGGGAAATATTCCATCCAGCCACTGAAGGACTGTCTCTGGAGATAGTGGGTGTCTTATTGCTAGGTGTAATTAAGCAGAGACACTGCTAAAGGAATCAGACCCAAGGAGGTCCTAAGTGCTGAGGTTTGCAGGAGTACCCATGATCTGGGATAACAAGACAGCTGGTGGAGAGGGTCCTCACTTGCCTTGACTCTCTCTGGCCAGTGGGCCTCTGGTCTCCTGGGCTATCATGATACCGCTAGACCCTGTGGTCCTATGCTGTGTCTTGTCATTTGGTTATTTTTTACTGTAGATCCACTTGTTGAAGGGCTTTAAGCTTTCTACATGAGCTCCTTGGCCTCTGGTACTGCCTCTGGCTGGCTGGGGGATAGCTCATCCCCTCTCTGTGCCATTCACACTGAGGGTACTTAAAAAGATGTTAAGGCTGTTCTGTCCTCCTTGCTGATGCAGGTTTCCTGCCATCTTGGCAGCCATTCCGGGTTAAGGTTGGTTTGGAAAGCAGCCTAGGGTACTGGGAAAGGCAGAGAGCAGCACACAACTTGGGCTCCGCCATGTAGACTTAGGATGTGGGATGGTTCTTTTCCCAGCTGTGTTTCTTCATCTCTAAAGTGGAAATAAAAATTGTGTTGGGTGTTGTGAAAATTTGTTGAGTGTATACATATCTCCACAGCACATTGCCTAGCATCACAGACTGGTATGACTCTGGAAGCTCTTGGACACATGAAAATACACCACTGAGGCCTGAACCAGCAATGGGGCTAGAGGGATTGCCCTAGAGGCAAAGGTCAAAGAAACCCTTTACAGACTTAGGCTGGGTGTCAACAACAAGGGAAGAGACACAGAAATGGCCTTCCAAACTTTGGAAATAGCAAGTTCAAAGGCCCTGAGGTAGGAAAAGCTTTCTCCATGGGAGGCCATGATAGTGATGACCGGAAAGTAAGAATCCTCACTGCAGCTAGAGTAGCAGTGGAGCAAGGGAAGCAGGGTGGAAGGCAGCGTCCAGAGGAAGAGCCTAGTAGTCCCCCCAGAAATACACAGTCATCCTGTGCCAGAAACCATGATTTCAGCAATTACATAAGTGGACATTTCCAGGTGGAGATGAGGAAGACAGAACCTTCCTAGGAGTCCCACCAATTAGAAGTTGCCTGTTGCACATGTCCAGTATAGCGCAAACCCCTGTGCTGTGTGTGCCCGTCCGCCCTCTCAGTCCGCTAGTAGGAAAGACTGGAAGTCCTTGGGTGGGAAAGGTGTTTGGAATGCGGTTGTAGCATGAAGGTAGAATGACCTATGACCCCAGAATGGTACAAAATGGCATGTCATGGACTGTCCTGCTCAGGGACAGAGGCTTGCTTTTTCCCAGGAAAGGTATTTAGCAAGAAAACCCAGACAGATTTTGCTTTTTTGCTTATTTTAATTTTTGTTTTGTTGAGACAGGGTCTCTCTATGTAGCACTGGCTGACCTGGAACTTACTAGGTAGATCAGTCTGATGTCAGCTTGCTGCGATCCTCCTGTTTCTAATCGGCCTTAGTTCTGGCATAGCAAGCGTGTAGCTTGCCCAGCTAGACTTTGCTATCGTAAGTGGCATGTTATAACACTTGGTAGGAGCGCTGGAACTCTGCACAGAGGTGAGAGATGCCAACCACTGACGTGATTGAGTCCACTCCCCTTGCTTTATACATGGGAAGATGAAGCACAGAAAAAGACGTTGCCCAAGGTCACGTAACAAAGAGCATGTAAACAAAGGACTTCCATGCTTCTTGCTGCCCTCAAACAGCTGTTGTGGCATATAGGGTACCCTCCAAACACTATGCCTTGCCCAGGAAGTTAACACACACACGCACGCACGCACGCACGCACGCACGCACGCACGCACTATCCCACAGACTTGATGTGCAAGTCTAGTGACCTGCATTCCATCACAGAGGCCCCACCTAAAGGGACTCTAGAAGCTGTCCTTTGTTCTACATATGTGTGTTGTGTTAGGCATGCACATGCACGCACACTCACTCACTCACTCACAAATAAACACATGTAACTCCAGACCAATATGTAACAGAATGAGACAAAAAAGACAAAAGACTCTAAGAAAAACATGAAACCACACACGGAAGCATTGCTATTTCCTTTAAGCAGACATTTGGTCTCATACATTTCAGTGTCTTTCTGTCTTAACTATCAACCTCCCTACTAGCTTGTTCTTCCAATTTGAAGTCATGGACTCTGCTTACATCAAAACCCCGGGGAGATGACTCAGTGGGCGAGAGGGCTCTCCATCTCTAGCTCAGCATGGCCACATGCACCTGTAATATCAGGGCTATGGGGTGGGGGTGGGGGTGGGGTGGAGACAAGATCACTGAGCTTACTGGCCTCCAGCCTAGCTCCAGGCTCAATGAGAGACCCTGTCCCAAGTGAATGAAATGGAGAGTGAATGGAGCAGGATACCCGATGTCCTCCCCTGGTCTTGGGGTGCACATACCACACATGTGTACAAACTGCAGAAACGTGATCCTTTGCTTCACCTTGGCTTAACATACAGCACAAGCTCTGCTCTCATCCAACTCACCCAGAAAGGCAAGTGCTCACTCCCTCTGTCTGTCCTGTTAGGCTGAGGTGCCCAGCCTTCCTCTTCAGCTGGCAGCCCAGTGAGTTAGTCTTTCCTCCCTTGATGGGGACACAGAGTGCTACACAAGAAGCCTCAGTCTCCCCTTTTCTGTCTCCCTGGCTGAACTTCTCCTTAGTGAAGGTTGAGGCTCCTTTGTGCTGGTCTACAGGAGGAAAAAGGCAGGGCCCAGATCTTAGCTACTGCATCCGTGAAACAAACACTGCATTTCTTTCCTCCTGGAGTTCTTTCTTCCTGTATAAGAAGTGTTCTTCAGATTCTGTCTCATCTGGTTCACACAGGCACTGGCTCAAACTGTCTTTAAGTCCAGAACCAAAAGAGGAAAGTGTGTTGGTATAATAAAACACCCAAGGCTGGAAATTCACAATAGAGATCTATTTTGGGAGGCTTGGTGTCTAGGAGTACGGTGCTAACACATGGTGAAGGTCTTCTCGTGACATCGTATAGGTGAGCGGATTACAATGTAGGATAGGTTGGGTCTCTCCTCATTATGAGTCCTCCCGTGATCTCATGGGGGCCTCTGTAGCCTCATGACTTCACCCAAATGACCCCCTAAAGGATCTACTTCCCAAGACTATTAATACATAAAATTGAAGATAGAGTTTTCAATATGAATTCAAACCATTTGTTCACCACTTGATTAGAATAGAGTGATGCTGGAAAGTGACAGTGACTTGGCCGTGGGGGCTGAAGGTCACAAGTCTAAGTTATAGACCAGATCTCTAAGTTTTCTCTTTTGGCTCCTTGGAAGCAATGCGTATAATTTGTTATTGAAACGACCATCCCATTGCATTGGGCCATAGCTCACCATGCTGAGTCATGACTGTGTCTGTACCAGCACTGCCTGACAGGCCTCCAGTGGAGTGAAGTCCTCTTCTCCAACTCCTCAGCATCGGTCTGCCATTCCCAGGAAACACGGCCGTATCACAGACAAGTGGGACAGAAGTCTGCCATGGAGAATCTCAACTGCCCCGCTGCCCATTGCATCCTGTCTTGGTCTCTGCTAAGGAAAGAGAGAGATGTAAAGTTCTGTTGTTCCCTCTGGCCACCTCTTTCTATATCACCGGAATGGAGAGACACAGCAAAGGCATGCCTCTAGCAGGACATGGCCACTGTTGTGTCCCCAGGATGTCCTCTCTCCCATGCCTTTCCCATTCTCTCTGGAGGCCATTCCATGAGGATTCTTCTTGGTGTCCACACACAGGGTCCCCTGGCCCTGAAACCCCAGTGCTCCACCCTTCAAGCTCCTTTTTGTCTAAAGTCACAATGAAGTCTCTTTCTGTGCTGTTACACAGAATGTGCAGCAATTAGAAACTGGGATCTCCTGTGTCTCCTACCTCACTGTAGCCCTTTCAGCTCTGGTTACCCTTGACAACTGAGGAAAAGAAAGGAGACTTAAAGAAAACTCACAAGAAAAGCAAACCAAGTCTGTCTTGTGAAAATAAGTGTGTGTAAACTGGTCTTTGACTATTTCAAAGTGTTCGTGTGTAAGACACCATGAAGACTCACCAGCCTAGGCTTCATGATC